TATATATATATATATATATATATATATATATATATATATGTATAACATATATATATATATATATATATATATATATGTATATATATATATATATATATATATTATATATATATATATATATATATATATATATATATATATATATATATGTATATATATATATATATATATTATATATATATATATATATATATATATACATATATATATATATATATATATATATATATAATATATATATATATATATATATATATATATATATATATAATATATATATATATATATATATATATATATATATATATATATATATATATATATATATATATATATATATATATATATATATATATATATATATATATATATATATATATATATATATATATATATATATATATATATATATATATATATATACCAAGTCACGAATTTAATATCATACGGATATCAATATGATATCAAATTTTGATATTTATGATATCAATATGATATCAAAATGAAATCACTCTTTGAAATCATTCTGAAATCAAAGAAAAACCTGATATCATACCTGATATCATCTATGAGAAGTTTGTGATATCAATAAGATATCAAAATGAAACCACTCATTGATATCATTCTGAAATCAAAGGCTGATATTATAACATGAGAAGTTTATGATACCAATTTGATTTAAAAAATAATCAATCATTGATATCATTCTGAACTTAAAACCTGATATAAAATGAGCAGTTTATGATAGCAAAATGAAATCACGTATTGATATCATTACTATACATTTACTTAATAGTTATTTTGATTATAAAAACACTTTTTCAAAGTGAGGAGGGCGGGGGAGTGGGTTGCAAACTCGCTCATTAAAAGAAATCGTCTATTTCGAAAAAAAATTCAGTTTATAAAAAAATAGGTGCTTGAAAAAGCGGGTGTAGTAAAGTAAGGGATTTTAGTAAACTTTGAAAGGGGGTAAAGTAACTGAATTTATTCAAGGTAAATGAGTAAAAGCATAAATATTGACTTATCAAAAAAATTGAAATCAAAATAATACAAAGAGGCGTTAAAATTCAATTACAAATAAATTTACAAATCTTGAATGTTCAATTTTTAAAATCATTAAAGCACTTTATAGCTTATTTAGCATCTAACGAATGCCAAATATGGTTAGTTAACTTGTAGAGCATTTCAACTGTGCACAAGTGATAAAATAACTGCTCCAGCTAGATTATCAGGTTCAAAAAGAAACACTATGTTATTATAATGATATCATTATTTGATATCATAACTTGAGAAAATTTTGATAACATTCTGATATCTAAAAGATCTCTCTTTTGGACTGGGAGAGAAAACCTTAACGTTTACGGTGCTTTATAACTAATATAAAAAACTCCAATATAAACTAAGCTAATCTTACTAAAGTTGTGATATCATTATGTTATCATAATGATATCATTATTTAATATCATAACTTGATATCATTCTGATATCAAATTGATGTTGCTTCGTGACTGGGTATGCAACATGGCAAACGTTTTGAAAGCCTTGAGTTATTGCAAAACTATCAGTCGTAAAGCAATAATACTTTCTGAGTATGTTTATGTTATTAAAAAGATTCATTGCCTCCATGAATTTTCCTTTTGCAAATATAACAATTTGAAATAAATATTAAAATAAAAAGTTCATAAATTTGCCACCTGGTCACGTGACCGGGGCAAGATGACTTATTAAGCAATTTTTACCTACAATTTTACAAAATTTTAAAAACTACCAATAACTATAAAGTAACAAAAATAAACATAAATTGCAAAAACTATTTCTAAAGAAGTTAAACTTGAAGGACACCATCCATTATGAGAAACCGAAAGTGAGGAATTTTATATATATATATATATATTAAATTATATATGTATGTATATATATATATATATATATATATATATATATATATATATATATATATTAAATTATATATGTATATATATATATATATATATATATATATATATATATATATATATATATATATATATATATATATATATATATATATATATAATATATATATATGTATATATATAATTATATATATTTAAAATTGTAAAAGACAACATTTTTTAAATATTGTAAATAATAAGAACTTAAGTTTTTTGAATAAGTTATTTATGCAAAATTCGCTGTACATTGACTGATTTAAACAGAGTAATGCTTTTCTCGCAACGCAAAGTCGGTAAACTATTGACTTTTTTTTAATATATTGACGGATAACTGTTTTATAAAAAATTTGGAAGTTTTCTTCTTCAGAATCCGGTGTTAAGACGTTGTTGCCGGTGAGTCAACAAAAATAAATTTAATCTTTGAAACATTTTAAATTAAGAATGAGAACTTTTGTTGATATAATTCATGACTAACGCTGCTCATTCCCACTCCCTCGCTCACTTAGTCTTATATTCCTTTAACACAAAACAAAACACTTCATGAAGAAACTAGTTCGTGTATTTATTTAACAGAATTGAACGAGATTGCTTGTTCAATTTTTTTTTTTTATTAACTTTTAATGAAATTTAAATAAATAGGTTTATTGAAATCGGTTATGTTTGTACGATTGTCTATGTATTTATTTCTTTTATCTCTACGAGAAGTATATTTTCAAATTGTCAACGGTTTCGTAAAACTGGCACTTTTTTCTATTACAAGTAAAAAGCGGATTTTTTTTAAAAAAAAACCAGTTATCAACTGGCTTTTCAAAAAAAATAATCCACGTTGAAGTCTTCACTGATGTTTCACGCTGAAAAAATTCTGCATAACCGTAAAATGCATATATAAAAACATAAATCAGATCTAAAACAGAAAACAACAAAGAATATTAAAAATCATTTAAACAAAAATTTTTAAATAAAAAAAACTATGATATAAAGTTCATAATTTACACAATCACAAGATGAATATATATATATATATATATATATATATATATATATATATATATATATATATATATATATATATATATATATATATTTATATATATATATATATATATATATATATATATATATATATATATATATATATATATATATATATATATATATATATATATATATATATATATATATATATATATATATATATATATATATATATATATATATATATATATATATATTATAATTCCATATAGATATATTAATTTACTTTTTTCTTTTTTGATTAGTTTTTGTTTTGTTTATATATTGATTTATCTCACTTAATAATATTCTTTACAAATGATATTTTATCATTTTTTAAATTTGGACGCCACTTTTAATAAGAAGGGTTTTAAATTAAAAAAATTAAAGAAAATTTAGCAAAAAAATCTTATTTACAGTACACACACACACACACACACACACACACACACACACACACACACACACACACACACACACACACACACACAAACACACACACACACACACGCACACACACACACACACACACATACACACACACACACATGATGTAATCCGTAATGGTATTTGTTTGACAGTGAGGGGGGACTTTTATATAGACATTAATTAACTCATTTTCTTTTACTGAAAACGCAAAAAAATGTGATTATGCATATTATTAAACACACATTTACACACGTACGCACGCACATACACAAAACAAAAAACAACAACTCTAACAAAGAAACCTTTTACTCAAAAGTTTTACGCAACCATAATTTATGGTAAGACGAAAATTGTAAAAATCGTAAAAATAACTTTACCTTATGGTGAAACAATAACAGTCAGTACTCAGTGTAGTTAAGGCACTTTTAAAATATTATAAAGTCTGTATGATATTTTGTTGACTACGACATATTTCCGTTAATGGTCTGGTCTGTGAATTATGAAAAGACGAAAAAAATTAAAATAATAAATTTTGCCGTATCATAAAATTAAAATGTTTGTAGCGAAAAAACCCAGACCGTTGAATATTTTTTTTTTAAATATCATCTTAAAATCACGATCGCTCGTCCAAATTTAAATAAGATTTTATATTAATACGTTTTTTAAGTGAAATGATCATTATAGTTTAACAATATGATCTGTTCTGATTGTTTAATAGCAATTTTTTATAATTATAAGCTCTTACTTGGTCGGAATTCCAGTAATTTTTGTGAAAATTGATAGAAATTTTGTGTTTTGACAACTATATATAGTTAAAATAAGTCAGAACCGATTAGAACTAGTATCAGTAGTAAATTAAGAAACTTTTTTAAAAGATTTTAACTGAATTCATGTTAATGCCGATGAGCGGAATTGATCTAAAGACTCCAAAAAAGTGTTCTTTAGATACATTATTACAGGTAGTAAAAAGATTTTGAAAATTATGTATAAAAAAGAAAAGTTTCTTTAAATATTATAAAAACCTTAAGTAAAAAAAATTATAACATTTAAAGATCTTGTTTGGGCATAATATGCTGACAAAACCATGCTAATTCCAAATAAAAGTATTCAAATATTTTGTAAATCGCCTTAACTACGCCGAGTAATAATTGTGTAAGAAAAACAGCACGAAGTAAAAAAGTGTAAATACACAAGAAAAACACGGAATAAAGGTATAATTTGAAAAAAAAAGCTCTAAAGTTTGTCACGAGAAAGGTGTAAAATAAAAAAAAACATTTTCAAAAAAAAAACTTGACATTAAAAGACTTTTTTAAGCTTTTTCTATCCCGGTATTAATAAACAATAAGGTACCGATATTCAGGCTGTGTTACTAGATGCACCATTCATTTCTAAAATGATTTGAAAAACCATCAATACGAAGATGACAAATTATAGACCTTATATATATATATTATATATATTTAAAAAAAGTTAGCTGAGAAAATGTGTTTGTTATTAAATATGATCTACGCAAGTTGTCACAAACACGGAACGGTATTTATTAGCCGCTAGATAAAAATATACATAAAGCGGTTTAAAACAAAAGTAATAACACCATTTTAAGCATTCCAACAAACTACTTCTAAAATACTTCTTTTATGACTCGTCAAAAAATGATCGTTTATTATAAAACGCTCTTTTATTGTAAAATCAAATGTTGAAATCTTTTGTTGCGGTTGTTACTAACGAACAATATTATTCTGGTTATATTTTATTTATTCGATAAAGGTAAAAAATTTATTTCATTGAGAAACATTCACAAACAAAAAAAAATACTTAACTGATTTAAATAATACCTGTGCTTAATAATTTAACATAATATATAATAATTTTAAATTTAATAAATGTTTTATATATATATATATATATATATATATATATATATATATATATATATATATAGCCCCAATAAAAATAAGTTATTTTATAACTAGTAATTACTTAAGAAAATAGAAAATAGTAGTTCAAATAAATATTTGAAATTAATTTATTAGTCTTACATTAGACTTTATTTGAATTATATATTTAATTTAAAACATATATACAGACAAAAAAAACGTTTAAAAAACATTAAACAAACGTGATTTACTTAAAAGCATAACTTCCGGGTAGTTTGGCATTTAAATAAATGGTTTTTTGTAATTGCTTTTTTACGCCAATAAATGTAACTTAAGTGTAAGTGTAAGATATTAAACCTTATATATATATATATATATATATATAGATATATATATATATATATATATTATATATATATATATATATATATATATATATACATATATATATATATATATATATATATATATATATATATATATATATATATATATATATATATATATATATATATATATTACAATTGTTTATCTGTTTATGTTTTATAGTTAATAATGCAACTAGAAAATAAAAAAGAAGTTGGCTCATCAAGCGCAGAAGCTAGCTCATCGAGCGCAGAGGAAACGTATATTACAAAACCAAACTTTTCCAAATATTTTTTTAACAAGGAATTTTCAGAAGTAATATCCAAGAAACAACAATTTAGACGCGTTTCAAGCGATTTTAAAAGTATGTTGCAAGCAGATAAACCTTCATGTATTATTCCAACAAAAAATACTGAGCAAGTAAATGAAAATTGTTTTGTAAACAAAAATATTGAGATAAGTGATAACAATAACAAATTTATTGACACAAATGGCGTCAAATTTGATGATAAAATCGTTTTAAATTCCGGAAACAAAACGAGTGACTTGTGCTTAAGCAAGACATTTGACGATTTAATAGAAAAACTAAACTGTCTGCAATCTGAACTAAACGACACTATATTGAAAGAAACGCTTATCAATACTGACAAAATTTCAGATGAAATGCTACACAAAAGAAGTTTTAGCGACGTATCTTCTTGCTTTAACAAAGAAACGTTATATCAAAGCAAAAGCAAAAACGAGTTTAACTGTTCGTTTGAAAAGTCGAAAAATGCAGACAAAGTATCATGCTTAGATTCTTTGTGCATCAAAGACACAAACTTGGGTATCTTTTATGGCTCGTTTGATGATTCTGAGACAAACTCAAATTTTTCAACCAAAAATGGAAGTCTTAGCGTGGGAGATTTGACTTCTTATGAGTTTTATGATCAATCTGATGTTTTTAGAGATAGCGACGTTGCCGATGGTGAAATCAGCGACGCAAGTGATGAAGTAAATCAACAAACAAACAAACCAAAAAGGTTATCCAAACGCTCGTTTATTGGCGAAAGCGTAAGCGTTGACATTTACAACGAAGATGAAGGTTATGTTTCAAATAAAAGTAGACGCAATGGTTTAAATTTGGATTCAAATAGCGACGAAGACGAGTTTTTAACGGATTTAATTGAATTCAAAAAAAAATATGAAAAGTCTAAACATTCTGCCATACGTATTGCAAAATCAGTTGAAAATATTTTACGTTTAGACAAAACAAACTGGAACAGAAATCGGTCGATGAGCGATCCAAAAAGTCCTAAAGGTGCAAATGATCCTAAAAGTACAAAATTTTTCAAGAAAAGGATTTTTCTGAAACAGGATAAGCAACACACGGCTGATTCAACTGAGTACTCTCATGATACGAACAATCATAAAAACAGGAGGCTAAGCATTTCGTTAATAGAAGACACAGCAAAAAAATTATCTGGAATAAATGAAATTTATTTAGACGAACATGGTCATGTTATCAAAAAAGTAAAAATAAAAAAATTGCAAGGACAATCTCTTGGATTTTTTATTCGATCGGGAAACGGTATGGATAGTAATCACAAAGGCATTTTTGTTTCTCGAGTTACTCTAGGAAGTTTTGCTGACGTTAACAATTTACTTTATGCTGGCGATGAAATTTTACGTGTAAACCAGGTATTAAATATTTTAATTCTAATAATCTTAAATTTGTCTAAATAAAAAGTTTTGTAATTGATGGTATATTTTATTTTTATCTTATATATATTATATTATATATATATATATATATATATATATATATATATATATATATATATATATATATATATATATATATATATATATATATATATATATATATATATATATATATATATATACGCACACACACACACACACACACACACACACACACAATGTTCTACCTGATATGATATAATATATTATATTAGATAGAACATTGTATTTATTTATATATAATTTTTTTTCCGTTTGAAAATTAATTGCTAAATGGTCATTATTAAGCTCGTGTACGCAATTTTAAAAATTTGCTTCTATATGCTATATAGAAAAAAAAGAGAGACCAAAAAAAAAATGCTTTAAATTCTTATTAAGTTCTAAATGAAATAATTGAATTAAAAATGGCAAAAAATTTTATTTAAGTTCTGAATTAAAATAAAATAAAAAAAAAAACGGAATGAAATAAAATGTTCGATTTAAATTCTAAATACAATAATTAAAATAAAAACGTCAATATATATATATATATATATATATATATATATATATATATATATATATATATATACATATATATATATATATAAATATATATATATATATATATATATATATATATATATATATATAAATATATAAATATATATATATATATATATATATATATATATATATATATATATATATATATATATATATATATATATATATATATATATATATATATATCAACCCTCATTAGGAAAAAATGAGGTCGGTAATAAATTGCCGATCTCAAACTCTTAGAAGTCGGTAAAAAAGTTTGACACAAAGGTGTTACCATAATACATAGATCGAGATCAGCGATATTTTGCCGACCTCAAACATTTTAAGGTCGGCATTGCCGAATACCGACCCTAATTCAAAGGTCTGATATATATATATATATATATATATATATATATATATATATATATATATATATATATATATATATATATATATATATATATATATATATATATATATATATATATATATATATATATATATATATATATATATATATATATATATGTATTTATATATATACATATATATTTCTTATGTTAAATAAAGAAATCTTTAATATAAATTAAAAATATTTTGCGTTTACAACTATAAAAGTGAAAATTACTTACACTTTAAAATTTTTTTAAACAAACAAAATATTGAAAAAATTATTTTCACTCAGGATATTTTTTGGGTGGGTGAGAATTTATTTGTATTTGCTATTTCTATATTTAAGTTTTACACATTTTGAAAAAAGGCCAATATGCCTTTTTTCAAAAAAACCAAATATGTCGCTAATAACAAATAAAGCTATTCAACCTCGTACTAAGTTGTATACGTTAAAATGACAAGCTCTACAGCAAATCATTCGATAACTTTTTTTTATTATTTTAGAATGAAGTTAATAACCTTTCTTTGGAAGAAATAGTGGCAATGATGCAAGAATCAAATGATTTATTCATAGAAACAAAATCAGCTTTGCCTTTACCCATGCATTCAAAGCCAAAGTTTCATAAAACTGATTCATCGTGTCTAAAATCTTCCTACACTCTCTCGGTTGATAATTTACTAAATAAAACATCAAAGAATGATTTAACTCGCAGTTTCAGTGTACAATCTGGAAAAATAACATCCGAACCAAACAGTTATGAATCGTTACTTAAAAAATATAAAGAATTTGAAAGTTATGCTTCATCTAAAACTAGAGGAAAAAATGAAATCAAATCGCAAAAAAGTACCCCTGAGCGAAATCTTTCAAAAAGTAAACACAACAATATTGGTTCGTTATCAAACCTTGGGGCAAATTGGTTTTACAAAACCGTAGATATTGATACTTCATCTTTATCAGATTCAAACGAGGATATTCGAATATATGATAGTGACAAAATAGATTCAGTGCAAAGAAAACATTATACTGGAAGTCTCAATATTTCTATTCACAAAATAACCGGTTGTCGAGAGCAAGGTTGGTTTTCGTGTAGCTTAGAAATTGACGGTGAAGCCAAAGCAAACACATCGTCAAGAATAATGGAGGAGAATTTAGAAATTGAAGAATCATTTGAAATTGAAGTCAATCAAGCTGTATTAATAGAACTGAAATTGTTCTTAAATAAAAAAGAAAAGCCGAGCGATGTTGGTAAAATATATTTAGGAAAACTGTTTGCTTATGAAAACCAAGCTCAAATAATATTGAAAACTGATAAATATGGAATAAAATTAAAATTGACCCTTGAGTTCATAGAAATTGAAAGTTTTTTAAAACGTGCACCATCAAGACGCGTAAAAGGTGTGTTTGGTTTCAACATAGCGCAAACACTGATCGATGACGGGAATACTATTCCTCTTATAGTTAGAAAGTGCGTCGAAGAGATTGAGACGAATGGTCTTTCTTTAGAAGGTATTTATCGCATCAGTGGGAATGCACGAAAAAAAAAAATTCTGCGCGCAAAATTTGAAGAAAAAAACTTTAGTAACGATGACGTAGAAGAGTTTGACTGTCATGTGTTTTCAGGCGTTCTAAAAGATTACCTTAGGGAGTTGCCTCAACCTTTAATTTCTCAAAAACTATTTTTAAAGATATATGAAAAGTCACTTCAAAACGATAGAAAAAGTTACAACGACGCTGTGTTATTAGACGCAATGAGGAGTGTTCACTACTCCAACAGAGCGACACTAATTTACATTATAGAACATTTGTTAAGAGTAGCTTCTAAAAAAGACGAAAACAAAATGGATTTTAAAAATTTAGCTGTCTGTTTTGGTCCTGTGATGATGTGTCCTCCATCTCAAACTTCTGCAATGCTAGACTTCAAGAAACAAGTTGATGCCTTAGAGTATCTACTTGAAATTTGGCCTAAATCAGCCCCCCAAAATCAAGTTTAATTATGGTTTTGAAGAAAGCAGAATTAATACAATGACAAAATTGAATTCTTTAATTCTTAAATTTGAAACTTTTTAAATTTTTAACTTTGAAACAAATTAGATATAGCATTTGAATTAATTAACAAAGTAGATAACGCATTTTTTTACGTCGATAAACAAAAAAGATTAAAAACTATTTTTGTTAATCATAAATAATAATATGTAAAATAAAAATACATTTATGGGTTTAAAAGTTTTACTTCAAAACGTTTTTTGTGTGCTTGTATTTTAAAGTATATTTATTTTATATTTATTTGTGAATATTTTTTTTAAACATGTAAAAAAAAATGTAAAAATTTTAATAAATAAACCAATTATCTAAATTTATTAAAATTTGGTTTTTAATTTACTGCACAATTTAAAAAAATAGCAGATGCCTCAAGAAGATTACTATTTCCTCGTGAAATAGAAAAAATGAGTCTTCCAACTTTTGCTTTTAAATTAAATTTTTTTATGCTAATTAAATTAAGCTATTTTTTTATTTCGTTTGTTTTCTTTCAATCCCTAATTCAAAAAGTTTTATAGGACACTATCGGACTTCTTGGGTTCCTATATGCTATACCTTAATTAAAATGTCTCATAAGATAACATATAGATTATAGAAAATATGTAGTAGATCCATAGGATTGGTAAATAGTATGACCATAACATTGCTTTGTAGTAGGACCATAGGATTACTATAAGATTAATACTGTACAACTAAAAACAAGTTAAAAGAAATATCTCTTGTTCTATCCAATCTACAAATTAATAAAATTAACATTAGGAGGCGATTTTCTAATAATTTCTCCGTCAGAAAACTGTACAGCAAGAAAAAACATGCTGTTATAATTGTATTTATATCTGGTAAATCTTTTCCTGGTGAACTTCTTTTACGTAGACTTGGTCCCTTAATTATATTCAAACTTAACATCTTTTGACATCCACCTAATTTTACAGTTCATTTATAAAACAAAAGGTAGACTGTCTCCAAAAAATTTTAAAACTTAATTTTAAGAAATACACTGTAAGTATGCTACTAGATTTTCCATAAACAACTTTGTTGTGCCAAAAAACATTGTTGCCAAGAAGAGTATTTCAGTTTAAAACTAAATCAAAATGGTGTTTATTACACACATATTTAGATTTAGCTTGTTTTTAGTGAGTTTTTTTAAAAATAGATCAATAAAATAAATCTTCTAAACACTTCATCAACTAAAAAAACAATGTAATTAATTTAAGTTAACCTTAAATTTTAAATTCTCTTGTAAATTCAAAAACTAAATTAAATAATTACTGACATTTATCATTATCATTAATCGCATTTTTTTGTTGTTGCTGTTGTTTTTATGTTGTTGTTTTTTTCTTGTTTTGCTTGTTTTTACTTTATCTAATTTATTTATGGCATTATCTATTAATTAAGACAATCTTATTTTTTAAATATCTACCTTATTTCTTGGTTTTTACTTTATACGCTTAGATAAAATTTTGTAAAAAGTATATATTGTAACAAGGTGCTTAGCGATAAGACAAAAATAATGTCTTCTTCTTGCTCTGGCCATTAATTTTATTTGTAAATTTATGGAGGTTGTACCTTTTATTCAAGGGCAAAATTTAATGTTCAAAAAATATAGAGTTATAAGATATGTATAAGATCTATAGGACTCTTATAGAAATAAACTAATAATATATAAAAAAATTATTTAACAATATCATGCCTCTAAAATTCTAAAAGTTGTTATTAAGTCATATGCAACTTTTTTTTAATACCGTAGGATAAAGATAGGATTTCAACTGAACTCATGAGATAAATTATGTATTTTACTACATTTGCAGAGCACATATACGAATAAAAATAGTCGTATATGAAACTGGAATATCTAGTAAGACAAAAGTTAGGATTGGTATAGTATAACAGTAATACAATTCAGGGCAGGCGCGAGTAGGTGTCAATTGGGGGGGGGGGTGCCATTACAACTTTTGCTGACTTTGTAAAAAAAAAAGGCCCCCCATGCACCCCCCTATCGCCGGTCCTGATACGATTCCTCCTGCATAAACACAATTCAAATGAGAATTAACAAATAGTTCTAATGTATAAACTATGGCATTTGGAACATTCTATTTGATTTTTATGCGTCATATAGACTTTTATCAATTATAATTTTTAAATTTGAACTTCATATAAGAAATAGACTTTTACGAGATCTATAGGTTCATCATGCACACACACTATAATTTTTTGATCTTAAATAACTTTTTTTTTTTTTGCATATTGCGGCTTTTAAAATTAATAATCTGAAATTTTGTCCTTTGAAGTATTTTAATAAGTTTCTTTAAAAAGTAGAAAGAACAGTTAAAAATTTTTTAATAAACTTTGCAATACAGTTAAAAAAATGTTTTATCGGTTAACACTACATATAATTTGTAAATATATATACTATTATAAAGAATCGATAATATATAAAGGAGGCCGGAGTTAGTCGGAACGCGGGTTTATTTGAAACTTTTAACTAATTCCGTGTTTAGATTAATCCCTGTCTTCTTTATATATTATTGATTCTCTAAAACTTGCTAGTATTAATAAATTGCTCGTTAGCCGGCGTAAAAGTTCAAAACTTCAACTTGAAACTATTTTACGCCAATTAACAATCAATTTATTAATACAAGCAAATTTGGAAGGTCTGAAGACTTTAAAATAAATACTATTTTGTTGTTGGATTAAATAAATTGTGAAAATTAAGTTTTTGTTCAAAACTTTTAAAAATTGTACGCTCAAAAGCAACTTTTGTGGTTTTTGTATTATTTACTGAAATCTGGTATTATAAAAGATAATAAATAAAAAGATATAAATATTATAATGAAATTATTAAAATACTTTAATAAGATTTAATAGGTATTTTTTTTAGCCATTTTTTAAATGTGCTTTTTATAGAGTTTTGTGCATGGGGTTCCTTAATTAAGTCGTTTAAGAATGGTTAAAATAGGGGATTGTTGGGACCTTTTGATTGCGGATTGTTTGAAAGTTTAAGATTTAAAGCATCACTCAAGTTTTTTCATTATCCCGCATATAAAAGATTGTTATTTTATAATAACTCTCAATTTAAATAGTCTATAAATTTAATTAGAGTATAAATTTAATTATAGTATAAATTCAATTATAGTACAAATTCAATTAGAGTATAAATTTAATTAGAGTATAAATTTAATTAGAGTATAAATTTAATTAGAGTGTAAATTTAATTAGAGTATAAATTTAATTAGAGTATAAATTTAGGATCTTATAATTTTGATAGCAGCTTGTTCTTTAATAATTTTTACCACAGTCCGATACAGTCATTCTGGGTAACTTTGAATTTGCGGGTAACATTGAATAAAACGTATAAATGTTTTTATTTTTTTTTTCTTTGGTATTTTCTTTGCCTGTTGCTTTAACAAAGGATAATATGAAAAATTATCCTTTTTTACAAAAGTTTGACCATAGATAATTTTATTTCTCAAAAATAATTTTTCCCTCAATTTCCAGTTACACAGTCGAATGTGGTGATAATATCGTATGTTGTCAATTTAGAATATTTGTTACTATATTGTAAATACCAGAATAGATTTTTTAGTATTTTTATTAATGTAATAATATAAATTAAAATATCTATTGCTAATGTATTTTGATATTTAAAGTTTTAATATTTATGGCTATTTTGATAGTTTTAAAACCTAAATTTATCAATAGCAAATATGCGATTAATTAAATAATTTTCATTAATAGCAGCAATTATCTCTATATTTTTAGCATTTTTAAAATGCCGAGAAAAAGTTTGATAACTCATCCTGGCACTAGAAAATATGGCAAAATATCTTATAACTAATAACTAAAATGTTACACTTCAAGAGGCATTAGCCAAAATTAAATTAGAAAACATGTCAATTGGTGAAGTTTCTAAAATTTTCAAAGTACCTAAAGCAGCATTATTTTATAAGCTAAAAAGTAAACACTGTAAATCAGTAGGGCGCCCTATTGCTCTTAGCATTGATGAGGAACTTTGTTTTGAAAATCATTTACTTTATTTAAGTGACAAAGGTACCAATTGGAAGATACCAATTGGAATTAATGATTTTGAAAGTATTGTCAAAAATACTTTGATTAAAAAAATACGACCAGGTTGGGAGTGCTGTAGACATTATCTTGACAGACATCATCATCAAAAGAAAAAGCATCTCATTGCATCTCAAGGAAACGCGCACAGGTTAATTATTGTCAAATAGAATTATTTTTTCAAAATCTAGAGAAGGAATTAAATGAAGTAACGCTAGATAATATTTATAATATGAATGAAACAGGGTTTTATGACGATCCTGGAAAAAAAAAACTGATTTTACGTCGATTCTTTTGCCATTTAGAACTTATAAGAAACACTACAAAATCTTGTTACACTATTGTTTTTTGTGGAAATGCCTCAGGAAAGCTAATTTCTCCGTTTTTCATTTTTAAAGGAAAACACATTAGTCTGACTGGCTCTTTAATGCACTAGAAGGATCAAGAATGGCAACTTCTTGCAGTGGCTGGATGGAAATTCAAGTATTTGAAGAGTGGCTGTTAAATCTCTTTGTGCCAAATATTATAAATAAGGAAGGTAAAAAAATTCTGATTTGTGATAATATAAGTGCTCATATATCTTTAAAAGCCTTAAATACATGCGAAAAGCATAATATAACATTTATATGTTTGATACCCAATTCCATACACCTTTTACAGCCTCTAGATGTTGGGTATTTCTCGAGTTTAAAAGCTAACTGGAGGTCAGTTCTTAATCAATGGCGTAAAACATCCCGTGGGAAAAAAGTTAATAACCTACCAAAAAATTTGTTTTCGCAGTTCATTAAATCTACTCTTAATTTTGGTAAAGAAAATCTAGAACATAATCTATAAGCAGAATTTAAGGCTACTGGCATATATCCATTCAACCCTGAACATGTTCTCTCGAAATTACCCAGTTTTACAAATATAGATATTCATCTCAATATTGGAGAATCGTTTAGGAAATATGTTGATTATATTCATACATCTAATCTTAATTATGAAGCAAGCAAAAAATTTAAGTTACCAATAACAGCAGGGAAAAGTGTATCAGGCACTGAGGTAGAAGCATGCTATAAGTTAAGAAACAATAAAAAAAAATCAAGATAATATTAGAACAAAAAAAAGAGGAAGACCACTTGGATCAAAAAACATAATTATAAAAATAAACAAAAAAAATGTTTCACAAAGTTCAAGCATTGTAGTTGTTAATTAAGTTATTAAAGACAATGAGCAAGTTGTATCTCAAAATGATGCAGTTTCTTCATTAGAGCAAATAAAC